ACGCCTGATGTCCAGAAACCCCCCCAGGTGGGCGCCTCTCCTGTCCATCGCAGCCCCCCTCTGCCAGACCTCCTACTCCCCCCCCACCCAATAAAGCGCCAGTGAAAGAAAAAAAAATTTAGTTATGGATCTAACTGGCTTTTCCTTTTTTAAAAAAATAATTATTTTATTTAACTTTATTATTATTTTTTATTTGACTGGAGAGAGACAGAGAGAGGGAAAGTGAGAAAGCAAGCCGCCAGGTCCTGAACTTGAACCATGGCTGGCCATGTGGGAATCCACCACCTTAACCACCACTCTATATCATGGTCCCTTTCCCTTTTCTTTCCCCTTAAGTTTATTTCTTTTAACAGAAAGAGATAGCAACCCCGAATAGATCTTGATAGATATTGATGTTGTAACCTACCCCCAGCCTCAACCAGCTAGGACCATGGACACACACACAAACCTGGAATGTGCAGGGAGACCCTGTCCCGGATGTGGGACCTTTTCAGTGGCCTCAGCATTGCTGATGCTGCTGCACCATCTCACCACCTTGGTTGGTCCTGATGGACTTTCTTGTTTAAGAATTATTTTATATAACTTTATTTTAATTTGACTAGAGAGGTACAGAGTGAGAGAGAGAGGGAGCGAAACCAAGGCTGCTGGGTCTGGGACTTGAATCATGGTCAGTCATGTGAGAGTCCAGCGCCTTAACCATCATGCCACTGGCCAGCCCCCTTACAGAGTAGTTTTAAGGTAGGCACAGATGGTGCCCCTGCTGGGAGGATGGAGGTTGCACAGGTCTTAGGTCATAGGCTGCACCAGAGGTCCAGGTTTGGATCCCAGGCCAAACTGAGGTAGTGGGCAAGTTATCCCAGCTAATGGAGAGCCTGGGGCAGGAGAACTGGGGTTAGCAAGACCCTCCCCAAATACCTCCCTCTTGCTCTCTCAGAAAGGTAGGGAGGAAGGATAGACAAATTATGACAATGAGCTTTATAGAAACACTGCTCCAATAACCACGTGGCCGGTACTCAGCTCCTAAGGCCGGGTCATCCATTCACCTTACTCTGTCATGTAAGGTTCAGGAAGGCAGGGGCCGTCTACGCGGTCCTCCCTTTTGTCCCCAATGCCTGCGATACAGCCTGGTCTGGTGCAAAATAAATGTTTGTTGAGCTAAAAAGAAACACGATTTACCGGGAATCGCTACTTACCACAGTAGTAGATGCTCACCTGTGGGAGAGATCCCAAAGCACCGGCTCCTCCAATTGACAATTACTTAGCGTTAAACGCTCTAACTCGGACCAGCAGATGGCGCAATGGTGACGTCGCTGGACTCCCATGGAGTCGACCGTGGCTCCAGTCTCGCACCCGTGGCTTAAAACTCTCGCAAGGCGCATGCGCGTGCGCGCCCCTAAACCCCGAAAAAATACTGTAGAGATTTCTATACCCCGGGGGCGGGGTGATTTCTCGCTTTCTGTCCCGCTCTTTCTCTCTCTCCAAAGGGCACACAGGCCCCATAGCAAAATTCTTTCTTAAAAAAAAAAATTCAACTCAGTTAAAGCTCAAGGCCCTCATCTATGCGTTAGGTTTCACTGAATGTTGAAGACAGCCGGAAAAGGAGCTCACACACTATTTAAATCTCCAGCCCGAGAGGGGTCGCTTAGCAACTAGGCTGAGGCGGCGGGCCTTACTGCGCACGCGTGCGCTGGCAAGGCGTTTTGCGCACGCGCGCAGGCCGTAGCCTTGGGCGTTCAGGGCCTGACGGTTGCTAGGGTGACAGGGACACAACATGGCGGCCGGATCCTAACGTTCTCTGAGGGACCAGAGCGGAGGTCCTAGCGCTATCCTAGCGCAGGACTCGTCCTCAGGGAAGTGGAAGGCAGGGGGCGGCCCTCCGGACCGGTTGGCCGGCCGAGCCCCGGGGCTTTGGGTCCTCCGGGCGTCTTCTGGTTCGAGGCGATCGTGTTGGAGTTGGAGCTGACGGGGTCGCGGTGCCGGTGGTGGTCGAGGGCCGGATCGAAGCTCGGGTTCCCTTCCTGAAACACTCGGCGGTAATGCAGCGGGTGCTTGCGACGGGGCCACCTGCGTTTTAGTGACTCTGAGGAACAACCGAGGGACATCTGGGCTGTGTATTTCATTATTTTTTTGGATCTAGCAGTAGTGTTTCCCTAGGAAACTGTTTTTTGAAGCACCCTTTCAGTAAAATTAGAAACTGTTACTTAGAAGTTGGGAAGAAAGTGATCTTCCTAGAACATGAAATGGGTTTTAAAAATCTACCTGTGGTTGGGTTTGTGAATTATCGACAGTCCAAGTGCAAACAACTTTTTTTTTTATTGCTTTTCTGCGCTTGTCACAGAGAGGGAGGGGAAGAGAGCGAGAGAGCGAGAGCCAGAGCCAGAGCGAGTCGGTGCGGCCCCCGCCCAGGGGGTGGCCACGCAGCAGTCTCCTCTCCATTCTCCTCTCCAGGTTGATTTTGGGCGCTCGCACACACGTCCAGCTGGCGTGTTTTTCAAGCTAATGGGGTGGGACTTGAACTGCAAAGTCGGTCATGTGAGATATAGCACCTTAACCACACCGCCCCAATTTTTGTGTGTGACATCACTGCACACATAGAATTATTGTTTATGGTTGTGTGCTGAAGATGCAGGAAAATCTGAACCTTCTTTACCGTGAAAATATTAAATCATGTTAGGTATAGTTAAAATGTTAAATTTGCACTGTTTCCTGATCGTCATTGGGTAATTGTTCATGCTGTAAACTGTAAAATATATTTAAAATACTCCATCGGGGGCCAGGTAGCGGCTTGGTGGTTAAGGTACTGGATACTGTGTGGCTAGTTGTATAGTTCAAGTCCTGGACCAGTGGCTTGAAAAATACACTGGGCATCCCCAGCAGATGCTGGATTTCCATGTGGTCGACCACAGTTCATGTCCTGGACTTAGTGGTTTAAAACTCACGCTTGGCGTGTGCACACATGTGTGTGTGCGTGCCCACAGTCTGGAGAGGAGATGAGAAAGGATTGTGGCGTGGCCATTCCCCACCTCTCAGGGAGGGGGACGATTTCTTGCTTTCTGTCTCTCTCATCTCTCTCTAGTGAGTGCACATCCCCTATAGCAAATATCTCTCTTTAAAAAAAAAAAAGGACAAGAAAAAGAGGGACCAGCAGGTGGCGTGGTGGGTAAGCGCTCTGGATTCCTACATGGCCAACTGTTTCAAATCCCAGACCTGGCAGCTTGCTTTCTTACTTTCTGTCTCTTTCTCTCTGGCTCACTCTGTCCCTCTGGTCAAATTTATAAATAAAATAAATAAATAAATAAAATTAAAGAAAATAATTCTCAAAAAAGAAATGAAGAAAAAGAAAAACACACTGGGAGTGTGCTGTGCCCAAAAATCCTGAGAGAAGGAGGAGGTGGGATCATGGCATGGCCATCCCCCAGGGCAGTGTTTTCTGTTTCTTTCTCTGTCTGTCCAAGTGGTCATACCCTGTGGCAAAAACAAACAAACAAACAAAAACAACTCATTTACCCTCTATAAAACATTTTCATATTCTTTTGTTTAATTTTGTTTACTTTTTTTTTTTTTTAGAGGTTTTTGCTATCAGGCACATGCGCTTGCAAGAAAGACAGAGATAGAAAGTGAGAAATCATCCCCCCCAGGGGGGATGGCCACGCTGCAGTCCTTTCTCCTCCATTCTCTTCTCGGGATCTTGGGCACGCACGCACACGCGCCTGATGTGAGTTTAAGCCACAAGGTCTGGGACTCGAATCGTGGGGTCGACTGTATGGGAGTCCAATGACATAGCCATTATGCCAACTGCTGGTCCCCCCAACTATTTATTTTGAAACTTTTCATATGTACACAGAAGTGGTAAGAAGACTACAGGCGATGCCTAGATGCACCATTCTGCCTTCTGCTTGGTGTTTTTTCTTTTTCTTCTAATTAATTTATTGAAAGTTGTTCTAGACATCAGGATATTTCAATAATAATTCAACAAGTATGGGAACCAGCAAGTGGTATGGTGGTGAAGGCGCTGGACTCCCGCATGATCGACCACGGTTCAAGTCCTGGACCTGTTAGCTTACTTTCTCTCTTTCCATCCCTCTGTCTCTCTCTGGTCAAATTAAAAAATAATAATAAAATAAAATAATTCTTAAAATACTATTTTAAAAAAAGAATTCAACAAGTATCTTATCAAGAACAAAGACATTCTCCTCCATAATGCCAGTGCAAATAATGTGTTTGGGAAGTTTCACATTGATAGAATACAGTGATTGAATGTGTAGTCCCTATTTCAGTCTTGCTGGTTATTCTAATAATGTCTGTTACTGGTGTTTTTAGTTTTTCTAGGATCCAACCAAGAATCACAAAATGCATTTTTTGTCATATGTCTTTGGTGTCCTTTAATCTGGTACAGTACCGCTGCCTTTTGTTACCTTTGTGCCAGTAACATTATTCTTATTATTTTAGAGTGATTTTTGCTGTAGGGTGTGTACACTCACCAGAGAGATAGAAAGTGAGAAATCACCCCCCTTGGGGGGGATGGTTATACCATAATTTTTTCCTCCATTCTCCTCTCAGGATCTTGGGCATGCATGCACATGCGCCCGGTGTGAGTTTTAAGCTGCTAGGTTCAGGACTCAAACCACGGTTGACTGCATGGAAGTCCAGCGACATAGCCATTACTCCAACTGCTCGTCCCATTAGTAACATTATTTTTAATTGCCAAAAGGCATGTACATTTGCCAGAGAGAGGAAGAAAGCAAACAGGGCATGTTCCCTCCAGGACTCCAGGCCAGCTTGCACATCCGTCTCGCATTTGAAGGGCGGTAGCCATGTGAGATCTGGCCCCTAATGCACAGCGTTTTGGACACCCCCTTAATGATGGTGCCTGTTTTTTGTTTGTTCCCTATTGTGCTCTCCAGAGAGAGGCGGAGGTTTGGGGAAGTGAGAAATCATCCCCTGGGGGGATGGCCATGTTGCACTCCCCTCTCCTCCATTCTCCTCTTGGGATTTTGGCCACGTGCATATGCTTGGTATATATATGCATATACGCTTGGTGTATATATGTGTTTGGTGTGTTTTTCAAGCTGCTGGGTCTGGGATTTGAATCACACAGTTGGCCATGTGAGGTAGCTACTTTAGCCACTGAACCACGTGGACCCAGCACATTTTTTTAATGATTTGTCAGAGGGCATGTGTGCTTGCTAGAGAGAGACAGAGAGAGAAAAAGCAAGAAAGCTCCTTCCCTCACTTCCCCACCCCTACCCCAGAAATGGTGATGCTGCAGTTCCCTCTCTTCCACTCCTTCCTTTTGGGATTTTGGGCATGTATACACATATACCCAGTTTGTTTTTCTCTTCCTTTTTAAAAAAATTTTTTAATTCATTTATTCATTTTAATTTGACTAGAGAGAGAGACAGAGAGGGAAAGTGAGAAAGCAAGCCACCAGGTCCCGGACTCAAACCGTGGTTATCCATGTGGGGGTATCCAGCACCTTAGCCACCATGCCACCTGCTGGGCCCCCAGTTTGTTTTCAAGCCGTTAGGTCCAGGACTCAGAACTGCATGGTTAGCATGTGGGATCTCGCCTCCTGAACCACCAGGCCACAGGCTGGTTCTACACGTTAGAGTGTAGCCAGGTGTTGTTTTTTAATTTAATTAATTAATTTATTTAAGAGATTTTTGCTATTGGGCACGTTTGCTTGCTGGAGAGACAGACAGACAGAGAGAGGAAGTGAGAAATCAACCCCCAGCGGGGATATCCTCGCCTTGCCAGAGTTTCAAGCCGCTGGTCTGGAAGTTGAACCATGGTCGCCATGTGAGAGTCCAGCACCTTAACTACTATGCCACCTGCTGGCCTCAGGCCAAGTATTTTGAAGAATGTCTTTCAGTTTTAATTGGTCTGATCATTTTCTCCTGATTAGATTTAGCTTAAATATTTTTGTCGGTACTATCTGGTTGATGTCCCAGTGTGTCCCTTTGGGAGTGCCCAGAGTCAGCAACTGATTTTGATGAAGTTAGTTTTGACCACTTGATCATTCATTTTATCTACTTTTACCTCTTAGACCCTTTATGTCACCACCCCACACACAGCTGCAGCCACTCTCATGGATTTCCTGTGTGTGCCTGTGTCTGTCTATGTGCATCTGTCCCTCCCTTTTTGAAAGACTAATGTTCGCCCCGTATGTGTACGTGCGGTTCATATAACAGTTACATAAAGGTTTGCTCCCCAAAGGCTCAAGTTTTGGAATTTGGTCCTCAGTGTAATGGAATTAAGAGGTGGGGACTGGTGGGCAGTGACTGATCAGGAGGCATTACTCTCATGAATGGGTTAGTGATGTCTTGCTAGACCCACTGAGTTCTGGATTTCTTGAGTTAGTCTCAAGGACCGAAGCTACTCCTGTGTTTCTCTCTCCACGTGCTCGCCATCCTCTCTGCTGGTTTGACCATGTTGTGACATAGCCGGCCTGATTCAGCTAATGCCTTTGGACTTGTGAGTCACCAGATTCATTAGTCAAAAAAAACCCCTCTATTTTGGGGGCTGGCAGGTGGTGTGGTGATTAAGGGTGCTGGACTCCCACATCACTGAGTGTGGTTCAAGTCCCAAACCTGGCAGCTTGTGTTCTCATTTGCCCTCTCTCTCACTCTGTCCCTCTCTGATCAAATTAAAATAAATAAATAAAGCTATATACAATAATTCTTTTTTAAAAAACATATTGTATTTAACTTTATTTATTCATAAAAAGAATTATTGTATTTAACTTTATTTATTCACTTATTTTAATTTGACCAGAGAGGGACAGAGTAAAAGAGAGAGAGACAGAGAGAGAGAAGGAAAGTGAGAAAGCAAGCTACCAGATCCGGGACTCAAACTGTGGTCGGCCATGTTGGAGTCCAGTGCCCTTAGCCACCACCATCTGCTGGCCCCAAATACAATAATTCTTAAAAAATATAAATAAACAAATAAAAACCCCTCTATTCTTGGGGCTAGCAGGTGGTGTGGTAGTTAAGGCCCGGGACTTCCTCATGGCTAACCGTGCTCTGAGTACTGG